GGGATAGCGAGTCTCCTTGAATAATTTCCCTTTTAATCTGAATACTTCTTGTTTCTTCTACTTCCTTTCCACTGTGTATTAGTAACTTGGTACTTCACGGCTTTATACTAGCCTTACAAAACTCAATAAGTCAAGGATGAAATCTTAAGATCTCTAAGATCTTCAAAACCCAGTCGTGTGGTAAACCGTGTGGTAAACTATTAAAGGCCTTCTGGAAGTCAATCCAAGCTATTCTTAAATTACGTTTTCGTTTCCTTACATCACTTAAGATGTCTGTTTAATAGCAAGATTTCCTTACAGTCACAGGAACCTTAACCACATCCTTTCTCTTTAACTGGAAACAGATGTTTCTTCTCTAAGTTATTATTAATCATTATACCATTATTATCATTTCCATTTCATTGATGAACAATTTGCGGTGTTATTTCTGCTTATTGTTGGTAGGCAATCTTTTGATATCCCTTTAGACGTTAGCGGCCTCTTGAGTGGTAGAGGTATTGTGGACGTCATGAAATTTTTCAGAAGAGCTTATAAGTAACAACTACCTTAAATGTTCGGTTAATGTTCGCTCGCGCGAACGCTCTGTATGAAGCCAAGCGAAATAAAACAGACCATCGATGTATCGATTTGCAAACACAGGAATCGCTTTCGAACAGAACAAATGACTCCCGACAAGTGTTCATTTCACCACTTCTACATTTAATGAATGAGTCAATTTAACATTAATGTATTCGTAACGCCTTATAATTTAATCATTTACTAACATTCAAAGTTGGAATTAGGAATATGGGTTCGGAAGAAGCCTCAAACAGACGTCTTCATGTGATATGATAAAACTATTACCTTCAATTGCGATTCAAAATTGTGTCTAACTCATAAAATCATAGTCATTAATATACTGACCAATTTTTTAAAGACAGCAGACAATTCTGTGTTGCCCGAGTATTTAATTGCGCGTCACAAACAGTCCCACCAATATCTTCGCCCCATCCGCTCTGCCCGATTCCAGAACTTCTCGCTCAGCCTTACCTGCTTCACTCTATCCCAGTATTTTTATTTTTTTATTATTTTTTTATAATTTACAAGTGGACCTGCCAATGCTTAGCTATTGCAATGAATTATACTTCACACGCTACTGCTCACGTGATTGTTAATTACGTTTTACCCTATGCTCAGCAAAAAGTTTTAGATTTACATTTAATACATACATTTTAATAGAAATTTTAACAGATTTCAATATATTCTCGCGAGTATGAGTTTGTTCTGTGATCTGGTTTGGACATGGTTGTCAACTATCTTATTGTTAAAAAGGTTCTCTCACACGTTTAGACATGGATTCGATTTGACACTGCTTTACGAAATTTGATTTACGTATCCAAGATAACGTTCAAGTAATAATTCCTGCCGATATTTTACATGTGCAGAATATGCACGCTGCGCTTAATACTTGATGGTACAGCGGGTTGCGTAGAGGTTCTGTTCAGGGATGCATTGCGTTTCAAATCAGCATAAATGTTTAAAATCATCATCAACACGCGTTTATGTGCCACAAACATACGCACATTCCCATTGTACTATACCAATATTCTTCGCAAAAGTGTAAACAATAAGTTGACAAAGTTTTATTGCAATCAGTGAAATGGTATGACCGCGAATAAAGTAAAAAGAAATAAACAGACATAGATTTTATATATATATATATATATATATATATATATATATATATATATATATATATTACATTTCTACCAGTCCGACCTGTTTGTCTTCAGTAGTTTTAATATTAGAAATAATTAGCAAGAGATTTGATTCTGACAGGAAACCTGAAGTAGGAATTATTAAGATTTAAATTTTAAAAGGGGATTAAGTTATAAACAAATTGGAGTTTGTAAATAAAATGTAGAATAGAAGCGTAAAGTATTGTAAATTTAGATTTAAAGAGGGATGAAATATATCTTCAGGAAATTATGATAGTGTGGAGGTCATGTAAAATAAGTGTGGTCTAAATTGAAAGAGCGGGTCTGTTATAATGCATGTAAGGAGCTGAAAAATTTAAGGCTTTGTGATCATGGATAGTAACAGTTTTCAGATCTTTCTGAAGTTCAGTGTTGGGAGAGTTGGGGCCGCATGAAATATTTTTCGGGTGAATTTGTATTTTGTTCATATTCGTTTTGGTAGCATTAGGTCAGATGGGGCAAGCTAAAGTAAGAGAAGGGAGAATCATTGTAGTATAAATTGATTTTTTTGTGTACAGCATTCTAAACGACCTTTCCTGTTACAAGAAATCGTTCATAATACTGCATTTTACGGCGTAAATGATGACGTATTAGATTTTACGTCACGAATGATTGAGTTATCACACATTCAGCCACTCGCAGCGAGAGAATTGCGGGGAGGTAGAGGTAAACGGATCAGCCGACCACCGTTTTCTCGAATAGATATCAAATTCTCGAGACGTCACAGCAAAGTTGTTTCGCAAAATTAAGTTTGATTCTCTTATAAATTTATAATGCTGTTATACAAAAAAAATGCGTATGCGAGTAGTTTGTATGAATGCAATAAAGCAACATTATAAATTCGAATTCGTTCCAAATTTGCTTGTTTTCAAAATATGTACTCATGCAACAAAGCTTAACATTATAAACTAATCGCATAAACTACTATTACCGAGTAAATGTTTATATGAGATTTATAGTTAATGAGGGAGTGTAATTTATGAATTCTAGTACTGGTGATATGCAGAATGATTCAGAATTAATATTTCTGAAGGGGTGTTTGTTTTACATGGTATGTAATGATTTTCAGTTGACATTTATCCATGTTAATTTTAATTTTCCATTTAAAGATACGATTGGTATAAAGGATGAGGACAAATTGTAGTCCGTTTTTAGGAGTTGATAAATGTTTATGACTAATGAAGATATCCTATCTTAACCTTACCCGACTGAATATGTTTCTCCTTACCTGGCAACAATACATTTTCCTAAATGCATCGCGAGTTGCGTTATTTTTACTATCGCCTAAATTTGTGTTGTAAACAAATTTGAAGTAACATATTGGGATCAAGAACTCTCCGAAGTTTTTTTCTTGGCTATTCAGAAATGTTTGTGCAAAATGCGAGAACAGTCACCTTCACAAATGAAACGTTTTTGTGGAATACGAAAACGTGAATAGATATTCCTTTTATTACAGATTTTACTGTCTTTAATATTATCTTGCTCTTACGCGAAAACAGCAGAGGGGATAGCAAATCTCTTTGAAAACTTTCCCTGTTAATCTGAATATGTCTTGTTTCTATTACTTCCTTTACGCTGTCTATTAGTAACCTGATGCTCCACAAATACACTCTAGCCTCGCAAAACTCAATAAGTCCAGAATGAAATCGATGTATTTACAGGATCTTCAAAATCCAATCGTGTGGTACACTGTCAAAAGTCTTCTGGCTATCAATTCAAGACATGTTTAAATTGCGTTTTCGTTTCCTTACATCATTCAAGATTTCTTTATTTAGAATCAAGATTTCTTTTCAGCCTCATAATAATAATAATAATAATAATAATAATAATAATAATAATAATAATAATAAATTATTATTTTTACTATATTATCATCATTATAAGAGCATTTGCAGAATCCCTTTAACACTACATTGGCCACACCCTCGACAGCCATATACCTTCCCATCAAGCCAATTTGATGATACTCGTTCTAATCACCTTAACCGCCTCATCTTGAATTAAATGAAACTTTTTGAAGAGTACTATATTATAAATGTATGACACCAATTTTTCTTGTCGCCTGGCCCCTTGCGTGCTTACTGTTGGGCGAAGGATAAAGGTCTAGCGATGACCTTTCATTTGAGGCATCACGATAGGCTTCTGGGAGAATATCGGCCTCGCGTAAAAACTCAGGACTTGCTTGCTAGCGTAAAAACACAGGTAGTTTGTATACGAAAATTAATTATTTTCGTGAGAGCGTATTGGCCGCCTAATGACTTCAAATAATTCAAGGAAAAAAACATGAAATATGTTTACTTTGCCATATTGCGTACTCATTTCCCTCCACTTCACAAATATTTTGCTAAATATTAAATTACAGACTCTGCCAGTCACCTTTATTCATCTACATTTGAATGAAGAAGAGGAATATTGTTAAAGAAATTTTATTGCGGAATGTGTGAAACACACTCCCTATGGCAAGGGTTCGCGTTTTCGTTTGTATTAGGAACACGCCTCGACGATGAACATTTAGTTGCAAGGTTTTTTTTCTTTCAAAAAATAAAAAGTCATCACTCAAGACACCTAAATACAGATGATTGCTTTAACAATCTTGTATTTTTCTATTTGTAGAATACATAAAAAGGTATTACTCGCTCTTCCTTCTTGAAGCGTCTGTACTCGTAATTCAAAACTTTAATTTAAATGTCTCAGGCTACCTAATCGACTTAAATACCATGCCTCACATCTCCGCACAGTAGGCATTGCTTTAGCTTCTTCGTCCAAATTATGTTTGAAATATTACCTCAATTGCCGCTCACATCATGATTTAATTGAAATTAAAATTGAATTATATTAGTAATTGTATATTTATAAAAAATATTTTATTAACAAAATTGGTTGTTTTCGTTAATTTCATTTGAATATTATTAAATAGGCAAATTGAAAAAGTATTCGCTGGAAGGTATCAAAATTTAAAAAAACACAATTAATTATTTATAAATTATGCAGAAATCACTTTAGTTATTCTTGTTTCATCCAAATCCTTTAATATTTCAAAATTGTATTGATTTATTTGTGGTCGCTCTCCAACAACTTGGTCTTTATTTAACCTTGTGTTAACATATTTACAGTATATTTGTAGAATTTGACCCAAAACCCTTCAACCTCAGTACAAAAAATCAATTCTGGTAGTTTCCTCCAGAATAACACATTTCATCAGTGAATCCGGAGTCTGCTGACGAAACGCGAATGGACGACAACCGCGCAACTGGCAAAACCTACCGGTCCGAGACGTAACCAGCGAAGGGCTTGCTCAGCAGCACCCCGGTGTACACCAGCATGCCGGCCACCGTCAGCTTCCACTTATTCTCCTCGCACGTGACGTTCCACTGTCGAACAAAGGAAAGCGTGAGAGTGCGTGACGAAAATGACGAGTTGCGCAGGGAAGATGTGGACGTCGGGAGGGGGAGGGGAGGGTGACTACCAAGAGCGGCAGACCGCGTCGGGCGGCGAGGTCGCGCAAAAAAATAGAAAAGGAGGAAGATGACAGAGGCGTGGAATGGAGGAAAAGATGAAGAATGAAAGGAAAAAATTACAACTAAGAAATTACGTTGAAAGGAGACAAAACCAAGTTTCCATATCTTGACTGAACGTTTGATTTTTTGAAGCAAAAAAGTAGTCTAACATGAGACAATGGTTAACACTTTATGATTACCTTGATGTACGTCAGTTAGTTAAATTGTGCAGATTTGTGAATAAATTATTGCCAATATTTTCAATTTTATTTTTAAATAAAAAACCGTGGGAGGTTAACTGTGCTAAAGCCGCTCCAAAAATACAAAATAATACCACTAAATGTTGCTCATGATACTGTCAATTCACAATTGTCATGTATCTGTTACAAATCATAAGAAAACTTATTTGACATATATAGTCTAAAAAATGAATTACGTCAAGATCATTAACAATTTTTAATAAAAATCTGTCAACATTTTGTAATCAAATTTGGAAAATATTTTGTGAAACGGAACCATTAAAAATACATTTGTTTTTGAGAGGAGTCTCACAACTGAATCGTAAACTAACGTGATCATAAAAAATGAACGCGCAGGACGTAATTTCAGCACTCGGGCATGGAAACTAGTACTTACCCTCACGGTTTATTGATTGGAAAGAGGTACTATACGGAACGCGCATGGCAAAGTATTCGTTGTCTTCACCGTATGCGTACTACTGCAAAGAAATCAGGGACACGTAAAATAATTGAGGACTGTAAAGTAAACAAAATACTCGGACAACACGATTCAATATGTCTGCTGCATGGCATATTGAGAATGATCCAAAATAATAAACTTGTTCCATGATGTCGTGCTAAAAATAAATGTACGCAACTTATTCGAAAGTATATTTCTTCTACTCATTTCAAAATGTCGAACTATTCGCTCCTACCGTCGACATTTCTTTGAAATGCTAAAGACTCACTCTCTGTACTAATTATGTAAATAATGTTTGTATTACAATAATCCGTTTTCTTTAATATTGTTTATTCAAAGTAAAAATTTATGCAAGTTGGTAATATACTACAATGCCATCTATTAGTTTTTACTTTCTCGCCTTCCTACGTACATAGGTATTCAAGAGAATGTTGTAATGCTGTGGCGGAAACCGGAGAATTTGCGACAGAAAAGTTAATATTGTCGTGTCCTGGTAACGCAAAAGTGGGATATCTTCTTCCTGAATATAGTATATTTCCTGTTACACGTTGTGTGGTTAGGAATTAGGTACTTTGAGTCCTCGATAACGAAAAATCAATTGGCAAAACGTATCTCCTTTTGTGGTCAATATCAGCGCCAAACAATTATTTCACACGATTTACCCCAAAAATTATATTTCCCGATTGAACTGAAAGTTCTGCGAGCTTGAAACATATTTTGATTCGCGGAGGTATAGTCTAAACATTTTAAAAAGTGTTTCAAAACCGGTTTCAAATGTTTTGATAAAACTCTGTCCTCGGATAGGATAAAAAACGCTTAAACTAATGGAACAAGCCTCGTTTTTGTTGAAATATTTGAAATTTAGGAAATTGCAATAGTTCAATTTTTTGCGGCGTCTTAGTGCAACTACAATATTGAAGATGGAAAGTTTTTCCTTAATAAAATCTTTTGTTCAAATATAGATCTTGCAATAACGTCATGAAAGAATTTTCAAATACATGGGTAGTTTTTGCATAATGTTTCATGAAATATAGGGAATTTTTAACAATTATTTTCTCAAAAATGGTTCACTTTTTTATTTAACTTGTCTCCTTATGTGTAACAAAGATAGATAATATCGCGGGGGTAATTCCATTTTCAGTATATTTTCAAAACTTGGAAAAAGTTAACATTGTAAAACTACAATATTTATTACAGATTTTTTAAAATAAAATATGTTCTAAACAATTATATCTTTTAAAAAATGTTTTCTCAAAAACGGCTTTAATTTACAAAACAAATCCACACATAGAGCAATGGATAAATTTAAGCAATGAATTGAACTCTCTGAATTTTCGAAAATGCAATAATGTCTGTAAAGTAATGCAAGAAAATGCAAGAGAGTATGTGCGGTTGTAGCACCATTAGTTGACTTTAGAAATAATTGTATTGTAACCTTTCATATGTACAAGTACGTATAATCATCGCCGATTGTTATTATCATGCACTCTCATTCAAAAATTGCTCAAACTCTAATTTAATATTGTTTTTTGACAACTTTAAAAAAATTTTGTCCAATTTCAGTTTAATTAGTCTGTACTATTGCATTAAACTATGAAAAGAAAGTAAGATAGTGTGTTTCGAAAAGGACCGTTCATCTCGAAACGGAGTCCTTTAAAAAGTTAGGAATTGTTTCAAAGAAGGAGAGAAGTTTAGAACGGCACCCAGGTCGTAAGTTCTTTAGTTTTGTATGCCTTTATTCTGAAGGTCAACGTGACGAACTCCTCCAAAAAATAATTTAGACTTCACTGTCAGAAATCTCATTAAACCTAATGTAGATTAATGCATTGAATATGAAACATAATGTAAACTTGTTCATTAAAAAGAGATTAATATATTTGTATATTCAATTGAATACATAAGTTAAAATCAGTAAAGACTTAATGTAAAGGATCTCCTGTTTCCCCTGCTTTTATCATTCATATCGTGTAATCATAATCAGCAGCCCTTCAAGATCATCCATTCATTCATTTCAGATATGTCCATAGATCTTTGACTCTTGCATCTTAATGTACATATGAACATTAAATTTAATGTGCATTCATGATAATCACTTGAGTGTAATTTACATTAAAGTAATGTGAAAATTTCTGACGGTGTACTGTAATACTCTTAAATTAACTTCAGTGTATCACGTAATGTAAACTTTGTGAGTATAACGGCGTATTTCGGACTCTGAACTGCTAGCGATTCCACATTCCCAACTATTTCCGGAGGCGTGCACTTGTACTTCCATTCTATTAGTCATAGCCGGATGAGTGGAGTCTGATGTCACGTCATGGTTGAGCGAAGATCCCAGCCTCTCCGCCCATAGACTGGGAAACAGATACGCCGGATGTTCTTTTGAGCTCTAAATTCGTTCTCTACCTTTAAAACCCTTGTTGAAACAAATAGGAATAAAACAAATCAACATCAATTAATTAAATCATTTAATAATTTCTTTCAAATGTAACATAGATGTAAGTGTACGCTACGATAGAGTATGAGTAAAATTATGTTTTGGCTGGTACAACAAGTTTCGGAGCAGTTCGTCTGCAAGAACAAGATGGTGATACTTTGGTTCATCCTAAAGATACGGATACAATGATACATTGATCTGTACATTTTTCCGTCACAATTACAACAATTTTTCAATTTACTAATTGGAGAAAATATCAAGAAACTATTTCATAAATTAGTCGGCCAAAAATGATCTGACAATATTTTAATGCTAGATTTTATCTAGTCTGTTATCACATGAAGATCATTTGGAATGTGCATGCCGTACTATGTACGTGTAGAAAGATTTCGTACAATAATAACAATAGTTCTAAGAACTTAAAATTCCAACTCGTGAGATGAAATTTGCCTGAAGGTTTCCAAAATTACATATTGTGACACAAAAATAATATTTTTGGTGTTTTGTTTCGTAAGAGCATTGTATAATTTAAAGTCTTTTTCATAAAATCGGCGTCACGTTTCATAAAATTAAAAACAGCATAATTTTGATTGATTGATGTTCTTGGTACGTCAACTTCTATGGTCATTAGTCCCTTTCGTATAATGAATAGTTTACCCTGAGAGGTGGTGATTCCTTCCACGCTGAATACGACACAATGGATTGTGGGAGATTTCCCTCACCAATGCTCTCTTCCTAACGGAGCACCGCCCCAACCAACACAATTTCTAATCTCCCGACTGCTCTCCCGACGTATGTAATAGTGCAAGTATGCGTGTGTATGTGCGTTCAAGAGAAGAGGAGAAGAAAAGGTTGAAGAAGAAAAGACCGCGCGGTCCGTGGCCCGTTTGTTAGGGTACTGCTCAGGCATTCGCCTGTTATTAATCGGAGAAACCATAGTTATCTACCGATCAGAGCAGCCCACCGCCCAATTCTTCTCCAAAGAGTGGCTGAATTCGAATTAGCAATAAAGCCAGTGTCGGAAATCCACCACCGTGGGGCTCTAATCCGATGACCTCCCAGTCAGACTATTTGAAATGTCAATTCTCAGCTAAATTCAGCCGTTAAAACCGCCAAATAATGTGAAAAATGTTAAGACTAGAACGCTTCTTCGCGGAAAGTCGCTACAAGGTCATTAGGTTTCGGGTACAGACCCTGACAAAT